AGATGAGAAATGTTTGACAATTGAAATGACAAGAATAGATGTTGAATTTATGATAGGTTAAGATAGGTTTAAACTTGAAACTGAATCGATGGGAAGGCAGTGAATCGACGAAACATAACTGAATCGACGTCATAAATTTTGCCCTTTTGGCCGCCCATAGATTCACATGCCATATTTATAATATTCCCCACGTCTCAGATCATTTTTGGTACTAAATTAAACACCTATTACATGTTTTCTCTATGAGAATTAGTGTGTTTTAGTTGCCCTAACGCTGTGCTGTAAATACTGTGTCAATACACAAACACGACAATACCTGCACGCGAACTTATTGATCTTATAGTTGTTTGTCAGTGCGCTTAGATACACGTATCAGCGCCTAAATAATAGTGAAAGAAGGAAGTATACATTTTAAGCAAGGAGCCTGATTACAAATCTAGAAAAAATCTACACTGCATCTTCAAGTGTCTTTAACCCTTTTAATGTGATGATAGCTAGACTATATCATGAACATATAGCATGTATATTGAACTTACCGTAAGTTGAATTAGATCGAAATACATGTATACTTGTGCCGAGCGGCTTAGGCCTACTTCTTGACCTAATGGCGTTTTCTCGCAAAGAGTTGTACTTCTGTCTGTGTACTTCTATATCTCTAAAATCTAGTTGAACTAAGAATATAAACAGTGTTTGACATAGATGAATTGTCCAGCACTGTTAATCAGCAGCAGTAAGCGTATTTATGTGCACTCTGTCTGATATCCACACGAAGTATGAAAGGGAGGATGACGTCATCTGGGAATTTTTGAAGGGAAACTTTTTCAGTAACTTGAAAGGAAAAACTCTCGAAATTTGGAAACAAACTGCAATTGTCAACCCTTTTGAATGGATATGGTTGTTTCAAGAGGACTAAGTGACCTCTTTTTTTATATGATAACCAAAATAAACGTTGTTTGCAATACACAATATCCTAAATATAACTTGACCTCAATAAGGTCATGGTGTGTTCAAGGTCATCGTATTCTCGTCAACAAAATGACATCCCTTCTCATATCAGCACAGCACAGCGTTTCTCCTACATTGTCGTTAAGTATAATGTCACAGGACATTCGGACCTGTTATCCCTTTCTTTTTTGCTCTGTGCTGGACTGTAGTAGCTAACAGAAACCTGACATAAATCAAGGAGAAGTTATTGTCAATGGACTGCCATTTGTTTACTATTACGGTCCAACAGCATATGACGTGCGTTGTAAACCCCCCGTTACACTTATTCAGAATCAGCAGGAATCAAGCAGAATGAGCCTAAATGAAAAATTTCCAAAATTCGCACCAGATGTTTTGCTCTTTCCACTGGAATGGTAACTGATCAGAATGTTTTGAATGTTGCCAGAATGCCGTGAGGATATTTAAAGTGCAGTCATAGATAACATGCTATTCAAATGCCATTCCATAATTTTCCACTTGGAATGCACTTCGAAAGATTTTAACTTTCGGGCCGACCACAAGAATGGGTAAAAATATTTGGAATGCGCTCTGAATTTTTATAATGCTCTTCGAATATCCAGGGACGCACAAAGAATTGTCTTTCCGACGCCATTCTTGCTCATTCCGCCTCTAGTGTGACGGGAGTACATGTATAAACGAACGGCACACATACCCGGTACATCAAGTGACCAAAGTAACAAGTCTTACCAGTCACCCGAACGACAGTTTCAGGCTTTGCGTTTCTTTTTTCGATGTGATACGTATCATTAACTTAAAATGTTTCGTGAATATCTAGCTTGTTCGGTTAGGAAGATATATATATATATATATATATATATATATATATATATATATATATATATATATATATATACCCCCCACCCCACCCCCGGGCCCATACTTATTTAATCCCAAGGTTGGAAAGTACTGTAGGTAGTCTGGCTCGGGAGAAATGCCACTATCTCCACATCTGGTTTCTATCAGTTTTCTTCAGAGTTTGGGACAAATATATAAAGCTCCTCAGGTTGGGAAATCAGGAGGGGGTGGGGGTGGGGTAAAAAATTGTTGACAGGCGTGTCTTCTCAATATGGAAACTTCTAATTTTGGTAATTTCATTTTAAACATTTACAAACATAATGAATTCTCTTTTTCGTTTTAATGTAATTTTTCACACATTTCTGTAATTATCGCCTGAATTTAAATACTAATGCGAAATGCCACACTTTGATTTCCTAGAATAACGAGAGAAAGAGAGAGACGAAGAGAGAGATAGAGAGCCGAAGAGAGAGAGAGCGAGAGAGGGGAGTTTAAGGGCCTTTTAAATTGTACATGATCCTGCGCCCCCTCTCCCTTTGTTGGGAAAATTACGGCTTCTCAGACCAGGGAATCTTTTGCTTTCCTCCTTTTTTTTCGTTTAACTTTTACATATTAAAGTGAAAACGTTTCCTTTTCATATAAATGTAATTCTTCACACATTTCTTTCAATGGCCCGAACTAGAGGGGCTTGTTATATATTCGGACTACACTCACGTCGGGCTCTCAGAAGTGTCCATGGACGTCCGTAGAAAATTTTTCAGGGGGGGGGGGTCAAAGTCACTATTCTATATCCCCTTACCCTGTGATGGTCCCCATGAAGGAATAGTTTTTCAAATAAATAGATTTTTCATCATTTTCGCCACATCAAGATCATAAGCGACATAAAAGATTCCACTGTTGTCGGATTTCTGCAGCTGCTGGTATTTTATCTTTTATGTCAAACAAAGTACTAGAACCATATGGCACCTTGCATGTGCAGGTTATATATAAACACAAATGTACACGAAGATACGGCCAATAGGATATGCAAGAACAATTTGGCGAGAGTTTGCACAGAGAAATGTCCTAACTCTGATATTGTCAGAGAGGGCTCCGTCAGTTAAAATCTTTTAAGAGATTTTAACAAAAAATCAAGCTCTTAGGGAAAAAAAACCTAGACTAACTTTGAAATATATATAATATTATTATGATAACAGAGAAAAGAAATGCGTGTGCAAGGTAATGTAAAAAGCAACGCTGTCAAATATTGGATAAAACTAAAGATAAGTTTATTATACATCTCTTGGACTGTCATTGGCTATGTGTACATTTCTCCAAGTGAATATTTTCATATCGATATACATATTAATTGTATAAATTTTACGTATTATTCTCAGCATCTTTAATAATGTTAATGTAATACACACACTGTTACCATGGATCCCAAATGGATGCTGTAAATCAACCAATGAGATATGTAGTCACATCTGAATTTTCCCAATATGCAACACTAATTGCCCTGGAAGTTAGTAACACTTCCACTAATTGGTTGAGCTACTGCATTAACAACTAATCAAATAAGCAAGCACTTGAACACTTAAGACAACCGTTTTCCCCAACTTTCATCTGGAAATAAAGCTACGGCACATGTTCTGATTATGCTAGATAACTTTTACGACAAACAAGTAACATTTACATGGTTTTCTTTAAGAAAACTTTTCAATCACCAGAACAGAAATGTCAAAATTTCATCGAAATTAACAATAGAGAAGAATAATCCAAAGCCTTATTTTCTATTACCTACAGTTTTCCCATTAGTTGTCCAATTCCCACAATACCGGTAGAATAATATCTAACTGGCTGTTATTTTACTGAAGTAATTCAAGTGTGTTGTCAAGGTCAAAAATACATTCTAGCAAGGTTTCCATGGCATGACTGGACCTTTCACATTGCAATACATTCTTAGTACAGCAGCATTTATTTAGTCAAAACAATAGCTTTCACCTTGTGACTAACACATATCCGGCACATCAAACATTACCTCTATATTGGCAAACTAGCATAAGAGCTGGCACGTGTAATGAGAAGTGCCACAATGAAATAAGAGTCCAACTGGTATTCAAAATGGCAGCAGTACTGGTTTACCTTGAACACATTTCATCAAACAGAATCCATCTACATCAAATATTAAATTGAAAATATGAATCAATGGGGTACTTGAAGTGTGTACGACAATCTTATATTCATTAATTCACCTTCTTCTCTCAAGCTATGAGGGAAATGAATCTTCACGAACAGGTTTCTTTACCAGGTGACACAACACAATGTTGACAAGACGGGAACTGTTCATTGTCACAGCTCACACACAAAACAGCAACTTTCACAAATCACTTGAAGGAAATAATAAGTAAACATTGGTGTGCTATTCATTAAAAAGGCAAAAAAAATGAATAAGCAAATACAAAATAAAAAAGACTTAGTTCCTCTTAACATTAATTCTTACAGAAATACTTCAAAAACCTTACTCCGAAGCCTACCATAACTTATCTTGTTTACATCTACCAGACTACTTTCTTTTTCCTTGAGATGAACCTTTTAACACCACGTAAAACTGCCTAGCAACTGTACAGTAGTTTCTATGGCGATTCATCCAGTTGCTATGGAAATTCAATTCAATCTCCTATGTACATTTTCTTTCATCAGTTATTTATAAGATACAAGACTATGTTCTCTATCAAATCTATATTCCCTGCCCCACGTAAAGCAAGCTATCTAATTCACCTTTCTCTCTCCTTACTTGTGGAATCATATAACACAGAAAACTTTACAATTGGGTCTACAAGAGCCATAAGATTAGTTAACTTGATACTTAATACAGTTATGATAAAACTGTACACTTCATATTACCATACACATAACTGTTTAGTTTTAAATTATTGGGAAGAATAAGCTATCACTTTTCATCCTGGAAGAAATTATTTCTGTGCCCTCTTCTGCTATTGGTCCATACATGTAGCTTGTCCTCTACCTCTGCCACTACAATTGTATGTTATACAGAGCGCAGCTAATCGCCACAATTTCCTCTTCCCATGATTCCACAGTACGCAAATTATCATGTCCACCCTGATTGGCCATAAAATTTTCATTAAATTCTTTACACCTTTACACCCCTTCTCAAGCGTGCTCTTTATTTATCACTGTCCAGTGCTTCTCAATGTCCTTTCTTCCCTTCATCCTTCCCTCCATCCTGATGACTACATAATGGCTTTAAAAGTGTCTAATGCATCGCACTCCAATCTCCGCATCATAACTTTTCTTTCGATGGCACCCAAATCATGGGCCCCGACTGGTCGCGAATGACCTCCTTGACCTTTGCATAGATGTCATCTGGCGTGTCCCCGCTGACCACAGCTGAAAACAACATGGGGGAGATTCAAGTGAAACTTTACATCAATATTCTAAAGAAGCATGGGTATAACAGCACCATCAGACAATACCTTTTTTTGCTTTGGCTGGGACATTTTCTTGGACATGCATATTCATCTTAAAGATAATGCCAAGGTTAGCACAAAAATTATTTTAAGATAAAAACTATTCCTACAATGCTCTGAGACAAAACAACATAATCAATGAAAAATCTGAGGTTTGAAAATTATTCCCAGTTTTTTCAATTCCGTTACTTCTGTAATAAACATTTCTTTAATTACTTCATTTTGTTTTAAATTTACCTGTGATTTTTTCCCCCAAACTGTTGCTCTAAACTCAACTTACCTGTGAAATACTCTCCAAACTCTTGCTCTAATCTCAACTTACCTGTGAAATACTCTCCAAACTCTTGTTCTAATCTCAATGCTTTTTCAAAACTTTTCTTGGCCTGCTCTTCTGTCATTCTCTTGTTCCACTCCCTGCAAAAAATTAATCATTATCTCAAAAATGTGATTACTTCTACATTCTAACAACCACACAAACACTCCCATTCATAGTCAACACTGCCAGTATTTATATTACAGATTTTGCATTACTTGTTATAGTAAACAATAGAATAAAACTACTTCCATTGTTTACATTATACATTGTTCAGTTTTTGGTTTTTAATAATAGATAATAAAGATGGCTATTGGGTAGAGTAGATCTACTGTCAGTACTTACATTATAGATTCTGCACTTCTTGGTTTAATAAAGATGGCTATAGGATAGAGTTGAGCAACCTGGAGTCTCTTAATAGCATTTCCACTGACATCTAATATACAATGCTTGCCCTGAAATCAGGAATTAATTTGATTACTTCAGTCTGGATACTATGACAGGTGTTATATCACTCCTCTTTCAACCCCCCCCCCCCCCAAAAAAAAAAAAAAAAAAAACATACTTACTTACACACCATCACCAGTATACACACTAACAAGACAATGAAAACTGAAAAACATGTTTCTATCTACACAGTATAAGCACCACAAATGTTACAACAAAGAAATATATTTTTAATGGATCTAAAATCATGACTCTGAAACATTAGTAATTTTTCCCATTGAAAAGATCAATTCATTATCCGAATTCATCGTGGGCAGTAACTACCTTTTCTGCGACCTCCCTGACTGAGGCAACACTTGTGCCGTACAGATGCTCGTTGTACTGCCCAGCTTCAATGAACAGGTGGTCCTGAATGTCCTTCTCCATCTGCTCTCGAGAGTCCACGAAGTGGTAGTCACGCCCGTCCACCTCATAGTCTCTGCGCGGACGTGTCGTGTCTGAAAACATTGACAGTCATCAGTAGCTGTTAAACAGTTGGCTGCATGTTTGATTATGCTGTTTTGCTACACGTTTTATTTTGTTGTATTATGTTGTATTAAGTAGTATTGTAATGATGTATTTGCTTGTGTATAATTTGCTTGTGTTCTCTTTTGTAATACAATGTTGCTTCATAATGCAGTAGTATAATGGCAAATGTTGCATGATGTTAAAAGCTATGTTGTATTAGTTGTACATTAATTAAACTTTGCTGTCTTACCTTCAATCAAATGTTGTAGAGCGCCGATTTTTTTTCACTATGTTGTTTTCCTCTGTATGAAGTTGTCTACTCTTATATGCCGAACCATGTTGAAAACGTTGCACATTGTATAATATTTTACTACTTTGTATTATGTTGTTGGCATTGACTGAACATGGTATTCTCGTGTATAACGCAGTAAACTATTGACTGTTATACATGCTATAGAATTTGACTGACAGTTGACTTACGAGGTACACAGCTGCCAAACTTGTCCGGGTACTCTGATATCAGGTCGTCATTAATTCTGTCCTTCAGCGGGCCCAGTAAAATGATAGGGCGTGTCACCTTCACTGGAAGACGGAATTCACGCAGACATTATTTAGTTGTCAGTAGATTATGCTAGCAATCTTTACAGTACAATGTGCCTGCTTGAGCATATCATTTCTTAAAGCCATATAATTTTTACACCAACTAAACCAAGAATTTGTTGAAAAAAAAAAATTAAATATCTAACATTTACTTAAGACAACTCACTTTCTTGCTGCAATACCGGTTTATACAATGTGTCCAGTGTGATAGTAGCTGTAACAATGTGTTAGGTGTGACAGTATTTGTAAGAATGTGTTAGGTGTGGCAGTATTTGTAAGAATGTGTTAGGTGTGACAGTATTTGTAAGAATGTGTTAGGTGTGACAGGGTTGTAGTGGACAAGCTATTTACTCACATTCTTGCTGTATCACTGGTTCATAGGTGAGCACTGGTTCATCCCCTCCTGTAACAACAGAAATGGCGACATTACTTCATTGTCAACTTTCTCCCACAAAGAACAAAAGAGGTTAACAGGTGAAATGATCAAAAGAAATTGAAACTAATTTTGCCAAAAATTCCTCATGTTTTATAAACAGTGAAACAGTTTAATACATGTAATGAAATTAAGAACATTTTTTCTTGACAATGAAGTGGATTACACTTAGTGTATTTATTTCATAAGTAAATGCTAAGAATAAATACTTTTACTGCATTCCTCATAGTGCCTTTCCTCAAATCAAATTATTTCTTTGAACAAAAAAATCAATTTTATAATCACATATTGTTTTAACATATCATATCAGCTCTTATTACAATCAGTGCACTCTATTGCTGTCATAAATCATTTAGGAAAAAAAAAAAAAAAAAAAAAAAAAAAAAACACAGGAGAAAGGTATCACAGCCAGTTTGTCCAGCTCTCATTTTTTACATAATTCATGTGGTACTGAGAAAGGAAAAAGAAAGCAAATACTCAAATACCGAGCTGAGCAGTTTGGAGTTGACAGGGTGGAATGCAAGTTATAAGTACCACTTAGGAGATTTTTGTCAAATGAAAACAAGATGGTCTAAAAATCTATACATCCTGCATAATTCTGTTTGGAAATCGCCTGAATAGGAGTATCATAAATTGAATGTGAGGAAATATAAATTTGTATTCTTAAACTTTTCTCTTTTCTTTATATGAAACCATAGAATGCCCCTTAAAGCCCAAAATGTTGTTACAACAGGCCATGTGACTAGTTTATGGAAAATGATTCCCTCAACCATGTGACACTCGTCTTTGTAACATGCAAATATGATTGCAATTTCAATTTCACTTACTGAAAATCCTGAATAATATAAAAAATATCCTATTTCAGATGTGTTTAAAATATGATGCTTAGTCCCCAAACCCATGATACAGATGTTAATACTGAAGCTAGACTACAGTATTTATTCTACACTGAACAGTTAATCCATGCTACAGTAATTGATATTTTATATGGGCAGAGTTTGTGTAATACAGATCTAGGACAAAACAAATACTGGAAACGTCTATTTGAAAACAGCTATGTAAAATAAAAGTCAAGACACAACATATTACATGCTTCACCTCTAATAACCTTTGATAAGTCTGACCAGAATAAATGTTGGAGAAAAGACAGTATAACCCTGCTAGTTAAACATCTAATTATATTTTCAACAGCCCCCCCCCCCCCCCCCCAAAAAAAAATAAATAAATAAATAAATAAATAAATAAATAAATAAATAATTTCTCCATCAAGTATTAATAAAAGAATAACCCCAGACAGGTTGTGTATATACCAATTGTAAATGTATATAATTTATGCCCAGATTACACCCAGCTATACATATACAGTATATAATATTTAGCCAGATTAACACCCAGCTATACATATACAGTATATAATATTTAGCCAGATCAACACCCAGCTATACATATACAGTATATATTTAGCCAGATCAACACCCAGCTATACATATACAGTATATAATATTTAGCCAGATCAACACCCAGCTATACTTATATAGAGAGCTGAAATGACAGAGAATTTACTTTAAGTGCCCATGAAATTACAAAGAAAGGATCGTGTTCTTTCAAATTGTATATAATTGCATGTGGTACTTAACTAACTTGTATTTGTGTATTAGGCTAATTGGCGTTGATTCATCTGTATGGTATCATCATTTCCTTAAAGGGCATAAAAGCCAGTCCCTGTCATTTTCAGCTTCCTATACCACTGCCAACCCCTCATCCACTGAAGCAGCCATTGGGAGCCATTGCTTAAGGAAATACTTATCTAACAACTTGGTGGAAATAAAGCACAAATTTTGCACTGCTCTATGTCCAATATTATAATTCAAAGCTAATTTTATCTGAATAATGGACATAAACATTATAGCAGTAAATTTTACAATGTCTATATTTCACAAAATGAGTTATTTCCACCATGTTGAAGATGGTGTTGAGAGCGAGAGGAATAGCCTATAGGTGAGATATTGGTCAGCATAAAACCCAATTTCCTTTCAGATTGATCAGTTTGTGTGGACAAATATTTCCCTAAATGTTGACTAAAATATTTTCAAATTAATTTTGGGAAAAAAAATTCAAGATAGCTTCTTGTAAATCAGTGCCACCTATGGATAAACTGAAGGTTGGGTGTATGCTGCCCTCTAGAGTGCATTTAGGGGACTAATTCTACATGTTCTATAGGTTTACTTACTGTTGGAATCATTATCACCCTCCGTTTCTACAGAAACAAATTCAAACATGGTCACGTTAAACTGTACTGACATATAGGGTATGTGGCAAACAAATGACACACAGCAACAGTGACAATATCATCCACAAGGACAACATTGGTACAAACTATGACAATCTTTGGTTTTCCTTGTCATCCTTATTTTTGAAACACTCTTGTGTCATTTGGATATAAATTTTATACCAATCTTCAAAGCATTTAAATGTTGCATATTGAAAGAAGCAACCTTTTTGAATACAGCATTTCATTCAAAACTGATCTCTTGACAAATACATTCAGCACAGTACAGGAGCTCTGTCTGTGTAAATCAACCAAGGAGCACAGAGTGAAATATTGGAACAATACCAGTGCCAAATATGAAATAGAATATCAGAAAATTTCACATCATTTCAAACATAATTTACTCCAATATCTAACTATCTTGAGACTAATTTTTTTAGAAATCTATTCTTCTTTACTCTTTATACATTTTTAGATATCATAAAGAGATAATTGTTTTGGCAATTAAAATATCCAATTTTGTTTCAATTTGATGAACTCAGATCATGCCATATCCACAGTGGAAATGTCTACCTTGACAAGAGCCCTTGCTACTGTGCAGTGTTGGATTAACATGCGATAAACGGGCAACTCGTTGCTCCACGTCACATGCTTTCTACAACACCAAGTTGGTTCATGCGTTGATCAAGATGTTAAGACGAGACTACAGTAACTGCTAACTGAGCCAGCTAGGCCACATGCATTCTGACTGATATAGCAGCTCAGGGGGGGTTAATAATAATGATAACAACCTCTTAACGTATTTTGAATTGGAATTTCCGCTTCTGCATGTGGCCCATATAAATGTGAAGGTCATGAGGTGAAGGTCATTTAAGGTCAAGAATATATGAAATTAAAGAAAAATAAATCTTAATCAGAGAAAGAGAACCAAGTCTGTTTTCTTGTGCTCGAGCAATCTCTATACACAACAAAATTAAAAGTACATTTTTCAAAGAATAAAAAGACAAAAACAATACATATCAAACCTTCCAAATTTAACACAAAGATAAATGGTGCTCAACATAAATTAAACAAAAAGTATTAACAAAAGGATAAAATAAGCTCATAGCTCTGCTCTATAATATACAGAAGCAAAATATGAAAAAGGCTTCTCATGTTGTAGCAATATGAATGGACATGTCAGGTCTTTTGCCAGTACAAGTTACAAATGAAATCTAAACAGCAGCCAATGACAAACGTGCTTTCAAACTGAATCAAGACACACTGTGCCAAAGCGCCAAGTTCTATAAAAGCTGACTTCCTCAAATGGTCTTATCTTGAAGTATAACGCTCTCTACAGGAGGATAAAACTTACGTTCATCCACAGTGACATCTTCCATGCTTGTGCCACTCTTGTCTTTGCTCTTCATGAATGGGAACTTCTTGGTGAAGGAGAAATTCTTCTTCTTCTGTTTGTCTGCTGCTGTGCCACCAACAGCCTAGTAGGACAGAGGGGAAGTTATTTTGAACTGTGAAACTAGATGGCAAACCTGACAAATATACAGACATCACCTGCTGGGATGGAGGGAAAGTTATTTTGAACTGTGAATCTCACTAGTGGGCCAGATTAAGTCTTAAAGTGCACATTCAAACCAGTACTGATCTGACGTGGTCTTAAAGATTAACCAAACAGCCTTAAACCGCACTGGCTCAGGTTTTAAGATAAAAACTGATATAAATCACAGTGAGTAAAAAAAAACAACCTATAATTGATATCAAATTGGTACTGACAAAGATGTGATGTGCACCAGTTCATTATCACTTGTCTCTGTCTCCTTGGTAACCTTACCTTAGAGTCCACTCCCTTTCCTTTGAAGTCCACCCTCTTCACCTTGGCTCTCTCTTTCCTCTCAACTCTGGAAAACATAGTCAAACCATTTACACCTGACAAAACTGTCTGGTCAGTTATTTCAGATACAAATGCAACAAGCAATGAGTTTTTTTAATGTGAGTAAATAATGGATGTTTCTTTACAACAATAATTATGTTATATAGTCAGATAATATTCAGAATCAGGACCAACTGATAAAACATTTTTTACATATTACCTGACATATCTACAGACCTAGAAGGATAAAGCCCCTTGAAAATATTATGCCTAGTCCCTCCCTACCTCCTCCTGCTGGGTATGATGCCCAGTCCCTCCCTACCTCCTCCTGCTGGGTATGATGCCCAGTCCCCTCCCTACCTCCTCCTGCTGGGTATGATGCCCAGTCCCTCCCTACCTTCTCCTGCTGGGTATGATGCCCATTCCCTCCCTACCTCCTCCTGCTGGGTATGATACCCAGTCCCTCCCTACCTTCTCCTGCTGGGTATGATGCCCAGTCCTTCCCTACCTCCTCCTGCTGGGAATGATGTCCAGTCCCTCCCTACCTTCTCCTGCTGGGTATGATGCCCAGTCCCTCCCTACCTCCTCCTGCTGGGTATGATACCCAGTCCCTCCCTACCTTCTCCTGCTGGGTATGATGCCCAGTCCTTCCCTACCTCCTCCTGCTGGGAATGATGTCCAGTCCCTCCCTACCTTCTCCTGCTGGGTATGATGCCCAGTCCCTCCCTACCTCCTCCTGCTGGGTATGATACCCAGTCCCTCCCTACCTTCTCCTGCTGGGTATGATGCCCAGTCCTTCCCTACCTCCTCCTGCTGGGAATGATGTCCAGTCCCTCCCTACCTTCTCCTGCTGGGTATGATGCCCAGTCCCTCCCTACCTCCTCCTGCTGGGTATGATACCCAGTCCCTCCCTACCTTCTCCTGCTGGGTATGATGCCCAGTCCTTCCCTACCTCCTCCTGCTGGGAATGATGTCCAGTCCCTCCCTACCTTCTCCTGCTGGGTATGATGCCCAGTCCCTCCCTACCTCCTCCTGCTGGGTATGATACCCAGTCCCTCCCTACCTTCTCCTGCTGGGTATGATGCCCAGTCCTTCCCTACCTCCTCCTGCTGGTAATGATGTCCAGTCCCTCCCTACCTTCTCCTGCTGGGTATGATGCCCAGTCCCTCCCTACCTCCTCCTGCTGGGTATGATACCCAGTCCCTTCCTACCTTCTCCTGCTGGGTATAATGCCCAGTCCCTCCTCCTTCCCGTCTGGCAGGATCCTCTTGGCCTGCCACCACTCGTCATCGCTGGCATTGGTGACGTGGAGAATGTCCCCATACCTGAACTCCAGACCCTCCCGCGGCAGACCACTGTCCTTAGAAGGGTCATAATCAAAGAGGGCCCTGGATGAAAAAATTAAGATAAAATCATTAATACTGCATATTTTTTAAAGCTGCATGTCTGAAAACAACCCTGTATTTTCACTGATCAATTAAGTGTTGTTCCTGGAGGAGCACAGTCAGCAAGAGGGTCCAAGGAGGAAGTTATCCAAGATAACTAGGATACCAATGACTGCTCTTATTTTTAAGGTGGAAAATTTTATTTGCTGTAATGCTAAGCAGATCTCAGAAGTCTCCTTGAGTGAAGACATTGTACATGCAGTGATTTTTGTGTGTGTGTGTGTGTGTGTGTGTGTGTGTGTGTGTGTGCGTGCGCGTGTGTGTATGTGAAACAGCCCAATCCTGCAATAAAATTTATCTGCATTCCTACTCATTGCTAGCTATATAGCAAGATCGACTCCTGGGTATTTACAGAAGAAATTGTGGAATGTCCGGAAAGTGGTGGGTGGGTGGGTGGGGAAGCGTGTCTGTTTCCTGGTGTGGTAAGGCATATTTTTAGAATAACCAGTCATGGGTGGTCCAATTCTTACTGGACATCTTTAGTTCACTATATACAATATCACTACATAAACAGCACAGGGGAGAATTGCTCTGGGTTTATCTTTATTCAAGGAGTTGTGTTTCACACTGAAACTTCATCATTGTTGGTATTAATAGATAGCTGCACTGCACTTGAGATATGACCTCTGTACTTTGAACTGCCTTCTCCTTTTTTGTTTCTAATTTTTCCCCAAAAATTAAATGCTGAATTTTGTGATGTACCCATCTGAGCATTCTACTAAATACCTTACAAAACTTTTTCAAGGATGAAAGTTTTAGAAGTATCACCAAGTGGAAAACACTTGCTTACAGCCCCCCTTACCTGACATAGAGCGTCCTCTTTTGTGTAGTTTTTAAACTGCTCTGACTTGTGTTCAACATCTGCTCCCGAATTTCATGAATTTTGGCCTCAAATCTGTTATAATCTGAAAATTACAGGAAAAGAAGATGCTCTAATTTTGTGGTTCTAATTTCAACATCTATCATTTTATTCTCAAAACAATATTAATTGTATTTTTAAATTTTAAAGAATCCTATGTTGGGCTCAAATCAAAGTTTTTTATTATTATTTGAAAGTCACTTTTTCATAGTTATACATAAAATATTAATTCAAACTTTTTTGAAAATTTTGCTGCCTATAAGTCAGAATGTAAACAAGAGTGAGTGATTGAAAAATGACAAAAACTTGAAAAAGAATAATATTTCAGAAAGAGAAAGTTTTAAGTATGAAGAAAAAAAAAAAAAGAAATCAGCAAACTTCCCCCAGTGCAACCACTCATTTCCTCACCTTCTGGTTTATACTGTGCGACAATTTCCACTGTGTCCCCAGCATGCTTCAGTGCGGCTGCTGCCTGCTCATGTGTGGCGTCCCTCAAGTCAACACCATTAACCTGAAAATAATCACAAATATCATACTAAACTTCATCATACTTCTGCAAAACTATTACATTTGGAGATAAATAGTTTGAATAACCACAAAAATTAAATTATAATTTATATATAATAACTATTGCAATAATAAAAAGAAATCTGTTGCTACATTAGATATGTATGAGTAGAAGATATATTTTTGGGGGAAAATGTTACATGGTGTTAAGAAAAGTGGCACTAAATGAAGAAAACTTCATTTTAATATAAATATTTATTTTCCTCTTTATAACTAGTGGTTAACTGGTGTAGTACGCCAGTCCCTGCAATATGGCCTTCTTGCCATTCAGCTCTGGAATCATCTAACCACAAAATGATTAACAACCAGCAAATCGCATCTACTTTAGCTGAATGGCAGATAATACCAGCATAGCCTGACCCTCACAACACAGAGAGAAAATGTTCAGAAAAGAGGGCATTCCTATCTCTCCAACACATGTTGATTTTCCGACCTTAATTCTCGTTCCCATGGTGACTAGGATGCTCATTAGAGACTCCATGCAGAAAATGGTGATAATTTCTTTGTTATTTTCTAAGAATTTTCTCCAGGCAAGTACTTATCACCAGCTTACATTTTCGTTTCAAAAACGCTTCTATTTTCTTCAGCTATTATGACTCAGTGTGGATTGAATTGAATTCTTTTCAACTGTGAAATACATGCCTGTGAGCGCAAAGATAACAGGGGACTTGTTTATTGAGTAAGCTAAATTAAATGATAATGATGGTACTTTTCTCCTGGAATATACATAATATGGCTCTTAAAAAAAAGAGATTTCAGTATTTCATTTCAGAATATTTCAGGTGAATGACTCGAGAGAGAGGGAGAGGGAGACAGACCATTTGCCTTAATATTAGACAATAGACCATCAAGCTGAAAAAGAATCTTATGAAGAAAGCATATAGTTGAACAGGCTGCAATTGTTGCCTTGCAATAAATAAATACTATGAAAAGGCACAAGCCAATTTTTGGAGTCCTCAGAAATGTGGTCCAAGCGGAGTAAATGAGTATGTTATTTCCAATATGCATACAAATGCAAGTTTTGAGCAGGAGATAATTACCTCATTACTTCAGAGGATTCACATGAACCACCAAACTAATATAAGACTATGACTAAAGTATCCTAATAGTACAACCATATTACCTCAATCCTAAACCATTTCCACACCCTTCAAGCTCCCATGCACCAAGGACATCCAACTCTTTTCTCTACTCTGGTGCTTTTGAGAGATACCAACATAAAGCCAGCTAAATGGCAACGNTTGTTGCCTTGCAATAAATAAATACTATGAAAAGGCACAAGCCAATTTTTGGAGTCCTCAGAAATGTGGTCCAAGCGGAGTAAATGAGTATGTTATTTCCAATATGCATACAAATGCAAGTTTTGAGCAGGAGATAATTACCTCATTACTTCAGAGGATTCACATGAACCACCAAACTAATATAAGACTATGACTAAAGTATCCTAATAGTACAACCATATTACCTCAATCCTAAACCATTTCCACACCCTTCAAGCTCCCATGCACCAAGGACATCCAACTCTTTTCTCTACTCTGGTGCTTTTGAGAGATACCAACATAAAGCCAGCTAAATGGCAACGCAATTCAATTTCCTTTCCCCTGGACGCCATTAAAACCCAGCAACCAGTCGCAGACTACAACTGAAAAGATGTTCTCCAATCTTATCAACACTTCAGACATGTAGTAACAGTGTATGTACCATCTGGTCAGTCCTGTTCTCTAATTTCCTCCAGGAATATCTGGTCAATTCACTGTGGCACACTTGCACATGTATAGATAATAAAGGTATCACTGATCCAGCTGAGAGATATCACTGAGAAACTTAACTCTGGCCAAATTCCAATAGGATCCAGTGATTCTTTTTTTAACTAGATCATAAAAACAAATCCAAAAACTTGTACACAAAATCTATGAGACAAATTGTTTATATCGCATCAAATAGTATGCTTCTATGAGCAGCTTGAAATTTAGATCCTTTAAAGTCACATTAACTCGAGTTATATTAGACAATGTGAAATGCCATAATCTGTGATCTTTATTTGTTACCATGCCTTGCATTGTGATGAACAAATGATATTTAGTTTTAGCTTAAAGATGCATACAAAGTCAATTTTTTGTCACAAAAACCAACCAAATGCCAGTATATAGTTTCAAGTAGTATAACTAAGAGAATTACCAAAAGGCATTGTTTAATTTTACCCAAAAATGATGTTTGAACAGATTTTTCTGCTGGCATTCTAAGCTGTATGTCAATGGGGCAGGAAAGTAGGTCACGGAAGTAGGTGAAATTTACAACCATAAATTTAAAGAAAGGAGCAGTCTAAAGGTCTTTTATGGCTAATCGAGTGATCTATTCAGTTTATGCCTTGGCATGTCAAATTTATTTGAGTCATATAAGAATCTAGTAGAAGTGGTTTACATGTGTTACTGGGAATCCACTATCCACCAATGCTCGGTTAGTATGTACCTTTAATAGTTGTATCAGTCAAAAAAAAAAAAGTTTATCTTATCTTAAGGGCTATGATTCACATATAATCTATTTCAATTTTCGCACCTTACTTACATCAATATTCAGACCAGGCCATCTTCATCAGGAGAAAGCAAAACCATATCCCACGTACTGTATTTTTCAGTTAATTGTTATCATCCTCATCACCCTCCACATAATTTGTAATAGACACACCAAATGACCAATTATTTAGCCTCAATCCGTCTATGTGTTCTCTCCTAGCTGTGGTCTATATCCTAACAATATACTCCCATCCAATGTCAGCTTGTACTGATGTCCTCTGGAGAATACCTACAGTAATACTGTCTCTGCTGCAACATCAGCTAATAACACTATCACCTTCAGCAAACACAGCAATGACAATATCATCAGATCTTTTCACAGTAATAAAATCACATTCCTTTTAAATACAAAATTCTTCCAAGTCACTTCCTTGTCTGTTGCTGAAATTATGATTATGATTCTATCTGGAAACCAAGTGGATGTATAACAAGAGGGTCAGATAAAGATTTCAGAATATCCTACAACATTGTCTTCCCCAACCCTCACGATATTGAAGTCTCCTGGCTATGGCTCACATACACACGAGTTGGAAGCCCCTCCATATTGCCACTGAGCTAAAAGAGAATACAGCTGATCAGAATTTCCAATTATCAACACTGTAGTAAAGCAGACAGTCGTTGCTCAATCTCTGCAGCTTACGTACACGATCTTTAAATCACTGCCCGTAGTAAATATGCTGCTCCGGCTGTGGTGAATGTTCAGCCAATAATCCTCTCTCTCTCTCTCACGGAGGACATTCACCAACAAATCAGCTCTGCTCCGACTTCAGCTTCAATACACATATCTACCAAACTCAGACGTTGAGAAGCACAATAAAATATCCCTGATTATCCTTCCTTTTTTTCCTCCCTACAAGAAATCCATACCAATCCCAGTATTTCCTGTGTATCAATCAGCATCAAGGTCATATTGGAGAGGATCTTAGCCCAGATCTCCACCGCCTCTTCTAACAGGCTGGAGTAACATAGCAGGCTGAATTGATTGACCCTTGCCTACTAGTGTGTCAGTCTTCACAGCTCTGTTGGACAGGATTCTAATTTCTCATCAGGGATGTGTGTACATGTACGTGTACGTGTGTGTACATGTGTGTGGAGAGAGAGAGAGAGAGAGAGAGAGAGAGGAGGAGGAAATAAACTGAGGAAGAGGAGGGGGGGAGGGGCAGGGCAGAAACTGTTTTTCCTCAATATTAGACAATCAGCCATCATGCTGATGAAGAGTGCTGTCCACATCCTAATCAGAATCCAGAGGTACAAGGCCTAAAATGGTCTTAGAAAGCAGATAGTTGTGCCTTGCCACAGGTAACAAAAACCATGAAAAAGCATAGGCCATTTTTTTTTTTTTTTTTGAAATGTAGTCTTATCTGAGTGACTCTGTACATATTTCCAGTTATCATACAAGTGCAAGTTTGGAGCAAGAAGTAAGTACCTCATTCTTTCAGAGCACTGACATCAACCAACAAAACTCATTAGGCAGGAAATATGTGTATTAAAGAAAGAAAAATCTTCTCATCTTTCCTCTGTTGTTCTCGGATGCCTCAGAACCAGAGACAATACATCTAAGTGAACACGGCCATTGCTGTCTTCTCATGTGGTGAACAGAAATTAATGTGATGTTTCCACGGCAACCAAGCTAGCGATCAATACAAAGCCAGTTAATGTGCTTACTCTGTCTTCTGCTGCAATAGATCAGATCACTAGCTATAGAAATATCTGGAAGACATCTCTCTTCCTCGTTCACAAAAAATAACTGAGAACTCCTCTTAATTCAGCTAAAACCCAACTTCATTCATTTGTTTGTCTATTTACATTTGGACATAAAACTACAGAGTGACTTCAGAAATTGAAACACCTCCAAAACTATTCCTCCTTGTTCCATGTGAGACACAATAGCTGAACTCTGGAGGAGAACTCCATTTCAATGGAGAATTAGTTTGTGAAACACAGACAGAAACTGGAGAGTTCAGTGGGTCTCCTGTCTTTCACCCTGTCTCATGTACTTACAGAAATGAGCTGGTCACCTCTCTTGAGCTCTCCGCTGAGGTCTGCAGGTCCTCCCGCCAGGATGAACGACACGTAGATCCCCTCGCCATCTTCTCCGCCCACGATGTTGAAACCCAGGCCAGACGATCCTTTCTTTAGGGTCACCTTCCTCGGCTCTCTGAAGTGAGAAAAAAATTACAGTTTATCCCATGGTGTTAACTTTTTCTTTCCCAAACATTTGCTGTCAGTGTACAACAGTTTGATACCGTACATAAATTAATAAGGTCAATTTTCCACATGATTTTCTTTTTATCTTGTACTTCTTTTTTCTGATTTATTCCCCAGTATATACAGAGAACAAATGTGTTAGTTGAGAACACATTGCGTTCTGGTTGTGCCTCACCTTCCTGGCATAACAACATCCCTATATATTGAAACTTCAATATGAGGCAAGTTTCAATTTAACTCTGGCGTTCAGTGTGAAAACTAGAATTCTGAGAGGACAAACATGTCATTTTGCTGGCCAAAAAAAGCCTTCGGCTTACTGTTCAAACATAACTATAAACTGTGCCCAATACACAATACAGAAGTCACTGCAACATTTCCACCATTCATAATTCAAGGACAATCATACACTAACAAACTACTTGCAAAGGGGCCAAACTAATTACTCCCCAGGTAAATTTTACTTCTGGCTTTTTTATACTACTTAATGTACACTGCACAATTCCATTATTTTTTCAGTGTCATAGCTTTTAACTTTCTCAGTCAATGGTCCTGAAAAGAGTCATGTTTACTTTTAATAACTTGTTGACATCTGTGTAACCCCTGGGGGTAGAAAGCTGTACATGTGTATGTAAACCACAAACATGCAAACAGTACCATATACGACTGCTGTAGAAACTGTGGGATTAATGTACAACTAGAGCATATACACATACAATGCTGGGGTGAATACAAATACAATCAATCCACTATTACAAAGTCCCTGCTCCAAATACCAAGAGATGAGATGTATAAGTCTAAGTCTAGATGCAGACTTAGGGACCATTCTCAAATCCTATCGCAATAACTGTCTGTCTAAAGCTGCTACGGGGTAATTAGTTATTGTTTAGCAGCTTCAGTACGTACGCCAGACATCAAAGACCCCATTTCCAGAGATTAGATCGATCTACTTTAGATCGACCTAACTCCCTGGGGGTTCACGCTAAATAGCTGTCAGCCGGGCGGACACGAAAGTTAATTACCCCCTTACAGCTTGTAGTAGGCGGGACGGACATTTAAGCCAGATTATCTGACAGTAATCTAGTGAGACTCCCCACAGGGATAGATCGATCTAAAATCTCTGGGAATAGAGCCTAAGCCACTTCAGCTGAAAGTGAGAAACCCCTTGGAGCTGGATCGATTCTGTTAGATCCATTTAGGTATGGGAACCCAGTTTTAAACACCAGCTTCGTTCCTTTTTATGTTTCACCATATTGCTTGTGAAGTAACAATTTCTCCTTTATTCTTAATGCTGTGCAAGAGCAAAAACACCAGCAACATGTCTACAGGGCTGGTCCAGAATTAGCAGGAAAGAATTGCATAAACACTGCACAACTAATATGATCTCTAGTGTCTGACAGCTCATAAACTCCCTCCAGAGATCTCTCCATTATACATTCATTAAAATATATTGATTTTTGTCTCAGAACCTTCATTGCTCATCCTGAATTACCCAACTTTTCACAGGGTTACATATCTGACGCAACTTAATCAATGCAGTTGCATAAAAACACTCAGGAAATATTCATCATAAAACCTGTTCAATCAATACCAAATTGTTTTGCATAAATGCCATATACATCAAGCGGTAACTTTTCAGACTTTCCTGGACCCCTGGAACTCGGACCAAATCGGTTCTTGTTCCCAATGACAGAAACAGTACATTTTCCCAAAATGTAGCAAGTGCTTACACATCTAGAAACAAGTGCAATATTCTTTCTTTTACAACCCTTGATTTCCTTTGAGTTATAGTATTATAAAATGTTCATTTTTGATGTTACAGTTAAGGCAGGCCCGTAGCCAGGGGGGTTCAGGGGGTTCGAAAGAACCACCCCTTTTGCTGGGAAAAAGTCCACTCTGGGTAAAATTTGATTTAGGTACATGAAATTTTTATGGGAAAAGGTCCACTTTTTCAGAAAAAGAACCCCCCCCCCTTTGAAATTGCTGGCTACGGGCCTGTAAGGTCAACCTTTCTTCTATAAAATGTGGGGGGTTGAAAGAGAGGGGGGCTAGGAGGAAGGGAGAGGATACAGAGTGGTTTCCACAGTATATCAGCATTCTAAAAGATAAAGCTAAAAGTGGAGTGTTGACTTAGTTTGAAATCACAAATCTGCACTCAATGAAGCAGTTTATCAGCAAACATTCCTGGGCTGACCACCAGATCACAGATCACTCCACTGTGGGGCTATCTCTGTGGTACAGGACACCTCAAGTATGCACAGTGAGGCAGTTTAGAAAGTCAGCTCACATAAATGATACTTAACATAGAATTAAGATAAAGTGCTTACATCACAAACAGAATCAGCATGTTTAATCTGAAAACTAATGTCTGTAAAAACAGCCTCCCTTACCAAATGAAGTCAACCAAATAAAATCCAATCCAGTCCTGAGATAAATAAGACTTTGCTATCAACAATACCAAATCTATCTTAATTAGGGGTATTAAAACAACAATTCAAATCACCGATTACAAGCTGTATCAAAACATATGAACATTTAATCCGGATTCACATATCTTGAACAAATTACCACTAGGGGGAGGTAATCCTCTACCAAGATAGACCACAAACTGAGCTGCTGGAGTTCACAATTAAATGCACCATCTCAAAGTGAAGAGTTAAGTCAATGTTGGGAAGTGCCTTGGCAAACAGATCAGGCTCCCCCCACTACACCTGTAATCCAAGGAGAACACAACTTTGACACGCCACGCCTGCACGTAAATTGATAACTGCTATTTTTTTCCAGAAATCTCAACCACTTTCTTCATAGAAATGTCTTGTTTCTTCTGCTGTATACATTTTCAATATTGCCTTTTTTTCCCACTTGGGAACAGACAATTATGAGAATCTGGTATTTCAGATAAATATTACCAGATATGATAAATGAAGAACTGAAGAAAAATCAATCAATAAAGAATAATCAATTTTGTGAAATTATTGTCAGGATCCCCATGCCAGCAGGGATATAAGTTGTTGAAACAGATGGAAACATAATCTGTACCTCATAAAATATCTGTCACCCATTTCTAGGACTATAAAATATGTGAACACAAGTCCTATACATCCACACACTGCAAGGAATACTTGCACAATTCTGGCAAATATATTTCAAAAGAGAACGAACAAGTTTGTCACAAAGGTGAATTTCCATCGATCCCTTCATCCCAATCACTGTTTCCGCAATCTCCGCAAACAATTCCAAATAACAGCGGATTAGGTTCCCAGTGTCAATATTTGCTGAGAGTGTTAGCCAATTAAGGCTTCATTCAAGTTATGTCTGGAGGATGTTATCCTTAAAATAGATATAATCAAATTGAGTCGGATCAGCTCCAGTGTGTACACACCTGTTGGCATACATGTTGACAGGTGATTGGCTCTTCCATTTTAAGACGCATTTACAGTTAACTTGTAACAATTAAGCTCAGAGAAGACGTATGCTGGACAAAATGCCTTTTCAAGGCTCATTCTCAAAGAAATTATCATTCTACATACTTAAATTCAACTCTACAGGAAGTCTTGCTGAATGCAATCAGATTTCCCTCTTCTTCTTTCCAATGCTCTTACAATCACCAGTTTTTCTGTATTCTACGCAATCACAGAAGGAGTCGTGTTAATCTGATTGCATTCAGCAAGAGTCCCCGCATAGCTGGATCAATTAACACAGAACGATACATTCATTTGGAATAGACCCATAGAACTATAATCAACACCCCCCCCTTCATTCATAAATTACTCATTCTTTAAATTTATCTGTTCTATCCAAGTGGAAGTCTAAAAACTACAGTTTGAACTGATTGCCTCTACGAAGTCAATACACAGACTATGATTTAACCTATGCAAAAGTGTGCAATAGCATTAAATTATTGCAACAAGAGATGTTTTTGGTAGACATCAAGAACAGTCACATTTCATTTCCCGTTCCCAATGGTTGCTTTAGAGATCCTTCTTTATGTGACTATAAAAATGCCTGAAATGTTTATCACATAGATCTACAGCAAAAATGCCCTTGAATTCTGGCTAGCAACTTTTTATTTACCCTAAGTAGTTTTACCCCCTTCTTTCTTTTTTTTTCTTTTTTGAAAAAAATTCAACATTCTGCAAGACTGCCTTATCTTCATTATAAACATTTTTCTTCTATTTCAATAAAATGGTCTTTAACTCTCCATTTAGTTTTAACTTATCAGATGTCCTTTTCAAGACCCTTATCTCAACTATTCAAAGAAAATTACTCCTATTTGCATAGCCTCACTATAATAATTATTATAAGCTACTTAATCTGAAGGAGCAAATTAACACCCATTTCACCACCAATTTCATGGGGGACAGCACTGTGGTATTTTATACATAAATCCTTAAAGAACTAAATCCCTTACATAATGTATCATTTTGACAACCATGGGAGATATTGATATTATTGTACAGTATCTACCTACTATGAAATGTATTTATCCCTAGATGCTGTATGGCCACTTTACTCCGCCATAAAAATTAATCAATATAATTATATAACAGAATATAGTTTCAACTTTAAGTTATCAAATTTCTCCTGCCCATATATCCTCAGCTGATAATTTCACTTGCTTTGTATTATTAGGTGAGAACAGTTTTCTTTTGAGGACAACAGCTCAATTTTTTTGACATGTTAAGAGTGAAAAATGAAAAACCTACCACTAAATACCCCCAAAATATTCCCACCTCTACAAGCCAGTGCACATTGTTATGGCAATATTTACCTGTTAAAATACTGATAGTCGTACAGGTCCTTCCTTGGTTTACGATACATACTGCCTTGGTCCTGTTTTGGAGGCTTCATTGGGGATATGTTTACAAATATCCGTCAAGTTTTCAGCGTGTCTCTCTTTCAACTGTGAGACTTTCAAACGAAGTGGTAGCAGTACTCCAACTTCAAGCACTA